AAAACAAAACAAAACGAAACGAAACGAAAATAAAGGATTTATGTATCTTTTTGTTTACTCATCGTACTTCCATTCACATTTGTTTCTGTTATTCTCTTCTTGATAGACGGGATGCCCGCTGGTAGTCTACAACTCATGTTATCCTACTCAGATGTTCCCGACGCACCAATCGCGCCCACCAAATTCAAAAGGAAATCACTTCTGAAACGAATCTCGTCTAACCCTACTATTTGACTTCTGTCCGAGTCACATGATTATGCCACGCTGTATAGGTCACGCGGTGTAGTTCAGGTGAAATAGGTCACGTGGCACAAGTCACGTGGCGTAGGTCACGTGGTACAAGGTCACATAGCATAAGCCACATGGTATGGCCCAAGTGGTATAGGACACATGAAATATGTCACGTGTTATCGGTCACGTGGTATAAGTCACGTGGTATAAGTCACGTGTTATATGTACGCTTCAAAAGTTGCACAAAATCGTTTAATAACTATTTTGAGTTTAGTAATATTTGTAGTTAACAGTTTTTTTTTATACGAATGATAGAAATATTCAGGCTCCTGAGTGAAACATAAGGTACTGACTAGCAGCACGAGCACGGCCTCAAAGGACATAATACTGATTTTCCATAAGACAGTATGTTTCCCACTGACACGATAACCATTCTAGAATGGTTATCGTGTTAGTGGGAAACATACTGTACTCACTTACACAGCCTGGTATGTTGTAACATTGGAAAGGCTTTCCATTATCTTCCAGCAATAGTAGACAGTCTCTTTTCGAATTACCGTTCAAATACCTCATTTCAGTGTCGAATTTAAATATTCACAAATTCCAAACGGTAAAGTAAAGAATGCACAACCTCAAGAATAACGCGCACTTTGACATTTTTTCATAGACCTTGACTGGAAAACATGAATATTCGAAGTAATTTCACACGAAATCAGGGCTAACCCTGTAGAAAAGAGAATTCGAAACTGGAGTATTCATCCTTTTTTAACACCTTGAACAATTATTCACATGTCTCTATCATTGCAAGCTAACCGTTCGTCTCGCTTCGATACAAAGGTACGGTTACCTTTCAAGATGGCGCAGGGAACTGTGAAGGGGAGTATTGTCCCTTTAACAACTACGATCCCATGATCACTGAAACAAAACGATAAATGTCATTTCCATAACCACGCAAACTCTGTACCTGCGACCTGCACGCTGAAATTTGGTTTTTCGCTGGCGCCAGTCAAAAATATGAAAGGTACTGACTGATTAGGCCCCGTCCACACGTATCCGGAAACTTTTGTATCCGCAAATTATTTTTTGCAGATACGAAAATGTTTGCGTCCACACGCAGCGTACTCGAATCGTTTTCACCGTCCACACGTATCCGTTTTCGTAAAATTTGCGACGGATACGGACACAAAAGTTTTCGGACACGTGTGGACGGGGCCTTAGATTGACGCAGCGAAAATCGAGTAATCCATAACTGGCAGAACGAAGCCTGGGAGTGGATGAACAAACAATATATAGTGAGATAAAACAAAGAACGCAGCTCACATGTAGAACAATACACATTGTTCACCATAATCCATGCTTTCTTTGTTTTTGTTATTTTGTCCAATCCCAAGCTTCGTTCTACGAGTGTACACCGACCCCGAAAATCCAAATTCTGCGTACAGCCCGTAGCTACCGTGTTCGCATGTTTAGGGCAGAAGGCAACGATAATAATTGAAATATTTATAGGAACATTTATCATAGTAGAAAATATAAGCTTTTGCACAATGGGGTGGGTATAAAATAAAGTGAGTTTTGTAAATGGAATAAAATGTAACAACCGTAAATAAATAAAAAGGGATGTATGAATCATCTTAACTTCTGTATAGCTGTGATAAAAATTGCTGTATTTCGATATTGGGTTTGAAATAGTTCCCCTCCCGCGCTCGGATGGCAGTTTTAAAAGGGTTTCTAGTTCCCTAGTCGGATTACTGGCGCGTTCAATAAAGCTTTCAATGAGTTTTCCGTTCCTGTTATTGTATCAAAATGAAAGGAGAAAACGATTCGGTGCCAGCTAGCTGTTGTATAATGATTATTTGCAAAATAGTTGTTAATAAACTGAAAGTTATTATTGATGGTTTTCACGGCGGCCATGTTGGAGGAACTTAATAAAAGAATTGTCAATGAATTCTTTTGTTATACCCTCCGACATGGCCGCCGTGTCTTTTGTTATTTATTCTCTTGGGAATGGCTGAAAACCATCAATTGGTTGTGCGTTTTCCACTGGAAACAACCTTTCTTGCCAGCTCTAAAAAATGCGGGGGAAAAAATGCATTAAAATGTTTATAATCTTGTTATACGACTTAGAAGAATAAAGAAATTATCGAATCCTTAGCGCATGCGTACTTTCCATTGTGTTTTCGAAGAATTTAACAGATTGTTTGCGCATGCGTTTATTCCAGTAACTTGTTGCGAAAATTTATTACTTTCTTTTGATTTGAAAAACTTCGGCATTGAAATTCAAAGTAGCCGGTATATCGTATGAATAAAACATTATAAGAACATCTGCTTGAAAGCTGCATAACTTTTAAAAATAAAGTCTTGTAAGACATTGAAAAGAAAAATTTAATAGGATTTTTGGTCTCATGCTAGGAAAGAGCCTTGCATTGCAGGCATACTGATTTCAAAAATATTTCGTCTCTACTAGT